CTGGATGGGACAGCCTTGTGGTGGCAACTATTTCACGCAGTGCAGCAGTGCATGCTCTGCTGGTGCTAAGCCACAGGGAAAAGAAGGAAAGACAACCTAACACGCTCTGAATTTTTACCTGTCTTAATAGGATATATATCATTATCTTGGGCAATTAGATTTCTACAGTAACAGAAGTATAATGACTGATAAATATAATATAATTAATAGTAATTAAAACACAAAAATTGCCAGTCCATGGGTGTTCTCTTCCTTCATGAGAACTGAAAAGTAATCTGTGATCATCTGCATTTATGAGGGACTAAAAAGGTCACACGTAAGATTTTACAGCACAGGACCTAACACATGGTAAATTCACAGACCAATTTACGACTTTGTTTGCATACCTCACACACACACACCTGTCACTACTGTCATGCAGTCTGCTTTTTCATTTCTGATCCATGAATAACACAATTCTTTATATCAGTAATACCAGGTAATTTTTCCATATGTGACCAGCCAGTAGGATATAGAGTAATAATTGAACTGCCATCAACAGAAGTTTCCCTAGCAAAGACCTAACATTATCAGTACTCAATCCTGCAAAACATTATAAGGCCTCGACAGTCTTGCCTCCAACAAGAGTTAGAGCCAAATCTTGAAAAGTTTCTTTACAATTAAACAAATTAAATGAAAGAATTCAGCCAAACATTGTTATGTATGAAGCTTTCAAAAACTGCACATAATTCTGGATGCTCTGGTTCCTGTTCTCTGACTTCTGTAGGCTGTTCTCCAGCTCTTTCAAATGTACTTCATGGTGTTTTTCATTCTAAAGAAAAAAGAGAAATGCAATGGAACTTAGAAATAAAATACAAATCAATCAAAATAATAACGTAAGACAACTAGTACCTAATTTTTATAAGCCTTAATTACTCATAAAAGTTTTCAGAGGCTCCACAAAATAGAAGGTTCCCAAAAAGGCCTCAAAATATTGAAGCTTTATTTACGTTCAGTCAGGACCAAACTGAACGTGTTTGAATAGGTTTATAATAATAAAAAAAAAAGCCTAGGAACATAAAAACTAACCTTCTGAATTTTTATCATTAAAGATTCCGAGCAATTTAAATCTATTATGGACTTAACACTCCCTCTCCTGTTGATTTTTCAGGGAAACATCTGTTACTGATCTCTGATGCAACATGATTTTTGATGCCTATAGTTCCTTATATAAAAAAGATGATAGATAGCAATATTACATGCTCATTGATTCCATACCTGATGCACACCATAGATCATTTGTTATATAAATACTATAGATATTCAGGTATTTCCTTTTATGTCTATTAAAAATTTCAGATGCTAGTTGCAAGACTTGGGGGTGTTGGTTTATGAGAAGCTCAACATGAGCCGGCAATGTGCACTTGCAGCCCAGAAAGACAACTGTATCCTGGGCTGCATCCAAAGAAATGTGGCCAGCAGGTCGAGGGAGGTGATTCTGCCCCTCTACTCTGCTCTCATGAGACCCCACCTGGAGTACTGGGTTCAGCTCTGGAGTCCCCAACACAAGAAGGACATGGAGCTGCTGGAGCGCATCCAGAGGAGGGCCACAAAGATGATCCGAGGGCTGGAGCATCTCTCCGATGAAGACAGGCTGAGAGAGTTAGCATTGTTCAGCATGGAGAAGAGAAGGCTCCAGGGAGACCTTCTAGCAGCCTTCTACTACCTAAAGGGGGCCTACAAGAAAGCTGGAGAGGGGCTTTTTGCAAGGGTCCGTAGTGATAGGACATGGAGCAATGACTTTAAACTGAAAGAGAGGAGATCTAGATTAGATCTAATGAAGAAATTCTTCACTCTGAGGGTGGTGAGGCACTGGAACAGGTTGCCCAGAGAAGTTGTGGCTGGCCCATCCCTAGAAGTGTTCAAGGACAGGTTGGCTGAGGCTTTGAGCAACCTGGTCTCGTGGAAGGTGTCCCTGCCCATGGCAGGGCAGTTGGAGCTAGATGATCTTTAAGGTGCCTTCCAACCCAAACCATTCTGTGGTTCAGTGATTCTATGAAATTTAAAAAATTGAATGATAGTCTTCAGATTTAAATCCAGCCTTAGAGAAAAACAATTAGATTAGAATAAATAACTGAATAAAGTTACCTTCATGGTCTTATTTTATTTCCAGTTTCACTGCAACAGCAATAAAACAATTTTCTAATCTTCCATAACATATTCTAAGTTACACATAAATGTAATTGGAATAAAAATCTTATTATCACTAATCACAGGACAAATCTCTAACTGTATCAAAACTTCGATTAAAGCAAATGATTTGCCATCACTAGTCTAGGGAATTCAGCTATGTCTGACATCTCATTAACAGAACATGTGCTGAAATCTTCTTGATTAGATAAAAAAATAAATTAGACTTCTTTTGTTTGTTTGTTTTCTAAGACTATTACTCATCAAAAATAGCTTCTTAGACTGTGGCCTTGCTGAATAGTTCAGTATCAACATATCAAAACCTGGGCATTTAAAGGATTGACACTTTGAAAAATCAGAGTATCTCTTGTTACTAACTACGTTTATGTGCAACATTGGTATACAGTCTGAAAGCTTTAAACAAATTCCAGTAAGATCAGATTCTTGTAATCAACTCAGGAAAAAAAAAAATAATATACCACTCCGTCATTACGGAACTGATATGCATTTATTCAAATCTAGGTATGTTTACTGAATATGATCAATCTGAGAAGGAAATTACAACTTCATACATATTTTTTTATTTTTGCCTTGCTGGGAAAGCTGGATTGAATAAGAGATGTAAACTCTATATTATTCCAATTATTTAGTTAGACCGGGCATCTGTTAAGTCTAGTAATTGACAAAAGTATATTGTCAAGTTGAATTAATTTGCTGTTCCTGAAAGCGTGTACCAATTGTATCAGTAGTGTGTTTTTCAGTAAAATGAACTTTCACTGTAAAAGATGATGTGGTAAGTAATTTCTTAAGTCATAAACAGTATTATTTACTCACATGGTGAAATATGCAGAGGAGTTGTTTTTTCTCTTCTTGTCCTTCTCTCACTTCAGTTTCAAGAAGTAGCATTTTTGTCTGAAGGGCTTTTTCTTTATATGACACTTTTTCCAGTTCTTCAGCTACCTATAATAGTAATGAGAGAGAAATGAATATATATGTATATAAATGAATATTTATATGAATATAAACACATACTTATTTTCACTTAAAGCTCAAACCAAAGTATTTTCTTATACCTTAGCATTAATAGCTCTCTTTCCTATTCTGTCATTTAATATTTAGTTATTTCCCATGAACAGAAATTAAAGAAACCTGGGAAATATTCTGGCTAAATTTGAAAGAAGTTTCAATTTGGAAAACAACGTAATATTATTGGGAGGGAGACACTTTTGTAACTCACTTGTAAGTTAAGCCAAACTTGTTATTTTTTTCAAAACCAAATCAAAATCCTCAGACAGCACTTGGAAAATTCAGTTGGTTTATTTAAACATGATTAATTTGAGACAGAAATTATAACTTCATACATATTTTCTGATTAAACTAATATAATTCCCTGCAATCTAAATTCCTAAATTTCCTTTTCCATTTGATTTACTGTTTGCATCCTTTCCACAAATGACAGATCTCTGTTTAATATTGAAAGTGTGCAAAGCCTGCCTCTAAAATGAGAAGGATTTCAACACTGAAGTTCCTGTGGGCTGCTTATTCCAAATAAAACAACAGAGAGACATGATTAAGCTTTTGTTCAGAAACTTTTTGCCATATGTGTGGGTTTAATATTAGGTGGTTAAAGCATTTTGTTTTGTCACCAAAACACTGATAGTGAAATGTTGGTCCAATGAACTTTGTAATTAATTTCAATAGGATCCGAATTCCACAAAGAAGTTGAATTGTGCAATCCATATTTAAACATGCAGAAATTCTCAGTAACTTTTCCGTATTGCTCCCTACATGCAAAATAACCTTGTTCCATCTTTTTTTTCTCAAGTACATTTGTTCTTAATGCTATTTTTAACTAGAAAATGGCAAAAAAGATGAAGAGATGTATTAAATCATCAATACCATTTTTCTTCCTTCTTCCAAAGCAGATTCCAGTTGTCTAGTTAATCCATTATATTCTGCGATTTTTTCTTCAAGCCGCAATTTACTGGACTGAAGACTCTCATCTTCTTTTTTGAGCTGACAAGCAAGTTCTTCATTTTGAAATTCCATCTTTTCTAATTGCCTTTATGCAAAACAGATTAATGCATTATAATTCACTAAAGCAGAAAAGTGTCGGAATTAATTGCAGTCAGATTTTTAAATAGTTACCTTTTAAGATCTTCGTATTTCTTCTGAATGTTACAGCTTTCTTCATCTAAGGAATGACTGCCCATTGAAGTCACACTGTCTTCCTCCTGCGAAAATGGTAATTCATTTTTAGTTGAAGAGACCTAATACACAGGATATTAGAGAGTAAAGTAAGCTTGTCCATTAAAATCCAATCAAACAATTTAACTGTAATTCAGGTAAACAGTATATTATATTCAAGTAAATATTATCTTGTATTTGAAACAAATAAAATACAGCCAAAGTAGACATTAAAACTTTGTGTGAACAATTTAAGACTGAAAACCTGCTATGTAACAAAGTGAAGTCCTAACAAAACCCATATGCTGCTCATGCAGCCTTGTGTATTAGGAGTTGGTTGGGTCTACCTGTTTGTGACTTTGACTCTTAAGCTTTAGATTCCAGCAAAAATAAGTTACCTCATACTACAGTCACAGGAAGAATAAAAATAATACCACCTACATATACAGCCATCACAGAAAAAGAGTGTAGCACTAGCAAAGAATTTCAGAAAGCAGTGAATATCGAAAAAGACAATCAAGTTCATAAAGAGGTATATCACTAACAGAAGCTGAAGAAAACAAGAAGCCAAACTGTCTTCCCCTGCCCAGCATCCAGACTGAGAAACTTTTACATGTTTTCTTTTAAATCTCGCAACAGTAGTGATGAGATTATTGCTCTTGCTATCATCCATCAACAGCAGATTAGCAATGAATAGCCACATTACCAGCCTGCTGGCAACATTATTTAGGGGGCAGCCTCCATCATTTACTGGACCACCTCAATACCATCCAGCAATTTGAGCCAATCTGGCTGATTTTGTGTATGTGAATTACAGGCAGTTCAGCTAGCAGACTAGTAGTAGCAGAAACCCCTCCAGCAGAGGGGTAGTAAACTGGTGTCCTGGTCCAGCTGAACCCAGAAGAGGGTTTCTGTACATGCTCCAGTTACTTCAAAAGGAATTTTCCTAAATTCTGATCATAGGATCAAGGGTCAGAATCTCTAAAGGACATCACCAACATTTAATGTTGAAATTTAACTGTTATTCCACCAGACTTGTGATTATATTCCAAGTTACTTCACTATACTTAAAGGTTTTTTGCATTTATTCAGGAAAACGTGTAGTTAGATTAAAATTACATACATCACTTTGTATATGCACCTCAAAATTAATTGTTCCTTAAGTACGTTGCTAAGCAAAGATGGATTTATGTGCTTACGAACATTCCAGGAAAGAGTATACAAAATGATACAAATAAGAACAAAATTTGATGCTATAAAGATCATCCTGATGAGAAATTTAAAACAAAATCATGAGCTATTATTTTTATAAGCATATAAAGTCTGAAGGGACATAGAGACTCACTATGTTTCTGCTGAAGTTTTCCCACTCACACAGGAAGTAGATTAAGCCCCTTTCCCACTCTACTGATTCAGACACCTTTGTCATTCATGCTAGCAGCCTATTCTCTTCTAACTCAAAAGCACATTCAAAAAACAAAAACAGAGAGTAAAGAAAACAAATAACCCCAAACTCAGCCCTGCCACTGAAATCAATGTCATAGAAAAAAAAAGATGAGGAATATTCATATTCAGAAAAAATATGAAAAAATAAGAAAAAAGAAAAATACAAAGCAGTAGTGCTAAAATACTGCTAAAAATAGAAACAATTCTATTAAAGTGTATTTTAAAAAATATTTCATCAACCAATACAATATAATCATTAAAATGTTCAAGTTATATATCATCAACAATATAATTTATGACTATTTATCTAAGCAAACATTGCCTGGTTTATAAATTAGTCATTAAAACCAAAACTAATGTGGAATTAAATTATTCCACTAGATACAAATAATAACTAGACTTGCACATTTATTTTCAGGGAAAAATTCCACAACACATCTCAGGACATAAGTATATAAAAAGAACAAGAATATACTCACTTAAAAGACACAGAATCTAAAAGTAACTAGTCTTGTCACATACTGAATTTACATAAATACAGTTGGCAATAGTTTTATTTGCATTATGCTATTTCTACAGAAGAAGCTTTTGATTTATGAAGCAAATAACAAAGGAAACCGCACAACTGTCACACACGCTAATATGAAAAAAATGTTCCAGAGAGTTTCTTCCGCATAATTTTCTCATTTATCTTTAAAAATCAGCATGTTCTAAGCACCTGAACCTGCAGCTCCCTAAGGGTTTTGCATTTCTGCGCATAGATCCTTTCCCAGGATATAAGCTTTTCCTGATATCCTTACTGCTTTTCCTCAGCTGCTTTCAGCAAGTCACAAACATGTTCTAACTCCTTTAATACAGCCTCTGTTTTGCCCCTCACCTGCACAGTAGCATCACAGGAGAAAAATGTAAGTGTAAAACCATAAATTAAATGTTGTAATACTTAATGGCTTTCCATGTAAGTAATAAATCTGAAATTCTACACAAGTTCCATAATATCGCCTATTTTATACAATACTGACAAAATTACAAGTTCACCATTGGAGAAATTTCCATCTCTGACTACATTTCATTAAAGACTCAGTAACACTCACAATGAACATTTAGAAAATCATGCAAGTGTTAGCAGTTCGTCATACAATACCCAATTTTTTATTTTATTTTTATTGCAATATATTTTGGGAGATGGCATACAGACACACTGAGCAGCTTACAGGAAAAATTCTGACTATACAACTATTGCAGTATTTGAAAAGAGAGCAAGACCTAATGCCATCTGAAGCCACATACAATGCTGTGCAAATATTATTTTCGGGAGAAGAAAATATTTTCCTCTATTCTACAACTCAATCATGGAAAAATAAAGTTAGTATGACGTAAGATGTCTCTCTGTGGGGACTAATTCTGTTCTCTAAAACAGAACATTGCAGGCAATGCAAAACCTGTCCCTGTCTCAGCTTTATCACTTAAAAGAATATGTATTTTGATGAGCCATGGAACTGAGGAAAGTGATTTTCCTACCAATTTTGTATTGTTTTCTGATGCTCAAGAATGTGCTGTGTTCCAGTATTCAGCTCCATCTGCTGAGAAACTTAAAACTCATCTCTACATAGATTCTCTGTTTTAACTGCTAGTTAAAACAAGCAAAGTAGTCTTACAGTAGGTTTGCCTCCCTACACAACTTTCACAGCTGTTCTGTCAAGAGATCTAGTTTTAAAATCATCAACAACAAAATCACATTTTTAAAAGTAATAAAAAAATTCTTGAATTCTAACATAGCATTCCAAATCCTTAGTCATTACTCTAGGAACCATTTCTCACCTGTTTGCAATTGTACAGTATCAAAAAAACCACTAGCTCGCAAGAGTTAGTAAAACATTCAGTGAATTTAAAAACAATTTCATACATGGAAAAAGAAAAAAGAAAAAAAGCCAGTACCTTGTGATTTCTAATAAGTGGATCACAATAATGTAGGAAAGATCAATGTCCTACAGAATTGTTTCAAAACATGCTTCATTACTGCAAAACTTACCTTATCTACTTCTAAGCATTTGTTTTCTGTTATCCTTTTATTTTCATTTAAGACTGTTTCATATCGGGATTTTAATTCTTCTACTGCTGTTTGTAATTTTTGAACCTAGGACAACATACACACATACATTTGCAAGGTATTTCTTTTAAATATAAAAAAGATAGAATCGTTAGTATGAAGCATAAAGGAAAAACCTTTGATTTCTAAATAGTATCTCAGTATTTGTCATTGTATGAAGTTATTTATTTGCATTATCTTGCTCACTACAGCAAATATAAAAGGCTTACCAGGTAGAGAGTGCTCTGGTATCAACATTTTGTTTTCAACAATGGAGAATGAGCTACAGTTGTGCTACAGAAACAGCCAGTATGACTCAACCTTCTCTCCTCAGGTAACAAGCTTCACTGACAGTTCCCATCTGGAGTCACCACAGCTACAGGCCAGGGAATTTCATCCCACTCACTGCTTAAGGCTGCCAGTTACCTGGAACTACATCTCCCAACTTGGAGCTGGCGACAACTTTAATTGTGGCGATGCATTCCACAGACAAGACACTCTGGTTGTACTTAGATTTTGTATCATGTCTTTTCTCTTGTCAATGACTTTAAAAAGAGGTAAGTGAAGACTGTCAGTGAAATGGTGTCTATACTATAGCAGAAATATATGCAACTTTGAATAAATGTTCTAAAATTTCTTCTCTGTGAATAAAGCCAAATACAAAAAGGAATTGATAAAAGCCCATTTTAAGTCTGATTTACATGTTTTGCTGGTATTTTCAATGTGGAGTTACCTATGTAAGTAAAAAGACTCTTACAACAGTACTTGGATGCCAGTTTATTGTTCCTAGGAACATAGAAATAAAGATATGACCAAGGACAGGTAAAATACCATTGGATATGTTCACTAAAGACATCGTACTCAAATTTTACTTTTTAAATTTAGTTTACTGCATTGCCAACTTGCTTTTTAGGAAGTAAATCTTTTCTAAGCAAGTATGTAATTAGCTCTGTTGGCTTCAATGAGCTTCAATTGGGCTTCACGCAATTCAGTAAGGACTGTGCGTACGAGTAATAGTGCGGAGACTATTCTTGGATATGGTTTATAATGGCACTCTCTTCTATCATCCTCACTGTTACGACAGTATTAAAATCACATGACAACAAATCTGTGTCATTACAAACAAAACCTTTATCATTTCCTCAAAACTGCTTACAAATTTAAAAACCATACTTGAACATTTCAAATACGCTAGTTACCTGATTTTTATACTGTTCAACAAGGTTTTCCTGCAGCTTTGTCTTTTCTTGCAGATTGAGCAGCTCATTTTCAACAGAAACAGTATTGTTTTCCAATGTAGCAAGGGCAGCCTTGATTAAAACATGGAAAATTTAAAAGTTGCAAGAGTACTATTAAAATAACACAATCTACAATATGATACTACTAGCAAGTGACCTGCAGATATTAAGAAGAGTGTCAAACAAAAACTGTAGCCCACAGTTCATTTGTCAGCTCATGAGAACATTTACTTCAGAGGATAAATAAAATACAAAACCTGTAAACCCTTTACAAATTTAAATTAATAATTGAGCTAAACTCAGTTCTTCAATTTAAAAAAAAGTTTTACAAACATAAAGAACAATTCCTAGTTAAGGAATTTTGTAGCTACTAACAGTAAAATAAATGGCATCCTGGTTAAGCAGATAGATGATTAGACAACCCTGTTCCTAGCTTTGCCCTAGGTTTCCACTGATAAATTTTCACTTACTGTAGAAAATAGATGGCAAAATTTATTCTACAGGTTTGAGATCTCTAGGTAAAAGGCCCAAAGGGAATTAATGTGGTTACCTCATTAATGTATTAGAAATGCAGAGCCATTCAACAATGACTTATAATGATCTCACCTTTAATTTTTCATTTTCAAGGTTAATCTTTTCATTTTCAGAGTTAACAGAATTTAGCTTTCCAAGAATTTCCTCATCTGAGTTTCTTCTCCATTCCTCCTTTCTTTTCAGGTCTTCCAAAAGGCTTGTGATCTGCCTTGTTAGATAGGCAAGAACTTCTGTATAATACACAATGCTCCCAAAACTCTCACTATGCAAATTAAATTGTATTAACACATACTCCTTCATTGTTCTTATTTTTTTAAAAAAAAGGAGAATGCATTTAAGCATCCCAAGAAAGCAGTATCTATTGAAATAAGAAACCGTCCAAAAGAGTAGTCCACCAAGGAAGTGGTCCTAGATCAATTACAAATAAACTCATTATCTAGAACACCCAAGCATACTTCCAAGACAACTACTTATACACACACTGTACTAAATGGAATGATATTGAATTCATAGGGTCTATCAGATAATGTCCTACTAAGAATATTCCATAGCTAGTTTAGGAATGGTACTCTTCATTATTAGAAGTAACAAATTGTGCTATGCCTCACCATTTGCTTTTCATGTTAATGAAGTGAAACAATGAAATTTGTTTTGCTGTTTAGTTAGTCATACACTGTCTAATAGAACAAGTCTTTTTAGAATGGTACATTTCAAGCAAAGACTTATATTTTCAGCTAAAATAAACACAGCAAAAAACAGCTGGATCAGAATGAGTACTTGAGGGAAGTATCATAGATGTTTCCCTTTTCTTATTCTTTCCTAGATGCCTCCTCATATACACAGGACCAATGGTGGGTTAGACAGATTTCTAGATTGATGTCATGTACCTGCACTTCTGTTAAATTTTAAAATATGCTGAAAATATTCTCAGAAACATCAGATTTTCTGAAACAAAAACAAGAGTCAAGCCAATTTAATTTGAGCTGTTACATATTTGAGCATAAATCAAGTTCTTTGTAAAATAAACATTCTGCCTTAGACTTAGCATAAAGACACCTAGCAGTTTCTTTTGCTTGTTTAAATTAGAGTCCATATTTCTACTGACAGAAAAGGTAAAAGGATACTTGTCACTGTCTGCCAAAGAAGATGGCATATCCTTCATGTACATTAAGACTTGACTGCGTAGTTTGAACAAGGTTGGACAATTTCGTGTTGCTTTTCTTTACAAAAATATACTGCTCAAATGCACATCAGAGAGGAACCCTTCTCTATCCTCTAGTGGGGTGAGACATTAGTGGAACTGAAATAGTTTTGCTATCATTAGTCTGAAATAGAAACTAGAAGCCTAAGAACCTTCCTCTATACTGCAGCAGACACAAGGGTTAACACTCAAGCTGTTGAATCAGTTACTAAAGAAATGGTTCTGAGGAAGCCGCATAGTAGCTAACAGCAAGTTCAGGCTAATCAGAAGTGTGCTGGGGAAAGAATATGTTTCACACTTGTATGGGGGAATGAAGTGTTTTCAAAAGTTGTGAAATGCAGCAGAGAGAAGGTTGAAAATCTTAAATTTGATCTAGTTTCTAACTTCTAAATTCTGCTCAGAATTTAAAAATATGAATACATAAACTTGTTTACATTGTCAACACTGAGTACTACACTACTAAATATCAACACTGTGTAAAGAAACAAAAAGAAAAATAGATCAACAGTTTAACTTACTTATTAAGACTTTCTGTTTGACTTTCTAACATTATCTTTCCTTCAACCATTCGATCATGCTGGCTTTTCCAGCCATCGGAAGCTGATAGTATCTCAGATAGCTTGACTTCCTAGAGAATACAGGAATTACAAATTATGTAACAAAAGAACACCACTGAAGAATGCCATCTACTTCAACAAAATTTTCTAAACCCAAGAGCTATTTAATATAAGATGGCATTATTGGATCTCCCTAATACAAAGCAACGTAAATTTTGTCTTGTCTCAAAAGAAAATAAACAAAACTACCCACATTTTAAAAAATTTAAGTCTAAGTACAGACTTACTTTCAAGGCAGAGACACATCTTCTGGTATACTAACTGCAAAAATATATCTTTAATAGTGACATATCCAAAATTACGGCAACACATCTAAGACTACAAAAACACACTCTTATTAGGAGATCTAAATAAGCCAATAAAGATCTCAGCACAGTTCTGATCCACCTGACCTTTTTGAACAATTACACACTGTAGGGATATGCAGGGCAAGAATCTAAGAAGTAATTTGGATTAAGGAAGTTTTGAACTTGGATTTTGAAAAGGTTCAGAGCAAGCAGCTTAGAAACAGGAAGCTAAGTATCTACATGAGATGTCATACACTGGTAAATAAAGAAAACAAAGACTTCAAACCCCAATCATGGATTCTCGGTTAGTAGAACGTACTTCTGAGTTAGGCCATGTATATCCATAAAGGTCTAACAGGAAGATCAGAAGAGGTGTAACTGACAGCTGATCAGACTCCTGGTACTACAGTTTGAAGTGTACAACCTCATGGCTTAAGACATGCACTAAATTTTAACAAAACAAAGGCAATCAACGTAGTAACAGTTTGCATGTTACTTATAGCAACCTTTGCCTTAACCAAGGAGAAAAAAAATAAGAGAAACAAACACAGCCCAACTAACCAACCTTTCCCATTTTCCACATGTGAAAGTCTCCCAATTGTTCAATTTGAAACAACACAGCACAACGTTGCTCACAGCAAGTCACTCACACGTTCTCTTATTCTGGCGGTTAAACTTTCCACAGCTGCTTCAAAGTGTTCAGCTCTTTGTTTCTGGGACCTCATTGCTTTTTTCAGAGCAGTCTTCTTTTGCTCACTTGTTTCCCTTAAGGCAAACATCTGGTGCTTGTATTCACCAACTTGAAGCTTCCACTCTGCTATTTTCTTTTCTAGAGTCTGTAGCATAATTAAATACCAACTCTTTTCAAATTCTATACCTCACAAAACATTTTGTGACGTAACATAATCAGAACACCAATTAAATTTATAATCTGTTTCCATAATGTCTTTGTATCTCAAATCTTGTGGTCGATATAAGGAGCTAGCCAAGATATGTAGCACAGCAGTAGGCAAGAGAAAATACATGCTGGGAAACTCATTATAAAGATGATCAAGAGAAGAGGTCGAGGAGGTGCAGAAGCAGGCAGGAGCAGGAGAAAAGACAGCAATTTAACCATTGCCGTGCGCTCTTGGAAATGAATGCAGAATTTCAATGTACAAGGCATGGCATGGACGTTAAACCTATTTATGAAGAGGAAAATAAAAGTGGTTTCATCACCCCTAGTGACTAATTTCTGTAAAGAATATCACCTTAATGATGTTACTAGTGATATTGATTGATGTAGTAGTAGTCTGTGCTCTGAATCTATAGTGAGCACACACATAACTAGGGCTGGAGATCAGTATAACTGCATATGAAATTTGAATATGAAAGTTAAGATCTTGGATTTGATTTTTTTAAGTCAAGAAGCTAAGAAAAGCCAGGTCTTTTCTTAAATATATGTAGTGTAATATGGTCTGTAATTAGACGACAACATAGTATTTTCTTGCAAGATCTCTTGACTTGTTCCTGTGCATCTAACGGTCCCACTATATTATGAAACAGAATTGTTTAGTGAAGGAACTATTTTTACAGAAAGTTATATTTTGTGTTCAATGGATAGTGAAGCAAAAAATGCAAAAAAAAAAAAATTAAGCACTGTCTTTCCCACAAAAGACAATTGTTTAAAGATAATTAAAAGTCTATGATAAATCTTAAACCACTATTGTAAATCACACATTGAATTGACAACAAATAACTACAGTTTCCTGAGTGCTTCATTTTAAAGCACTCAGGAAATAAAATACATTTGCATTAAATGTATTTTTATTTAAATATATGTAAAATACATTTGCATTAAATGTATTTTAATGCATTTAATTATATTATCAAATGTATACAATGCAACTGAGATGAGAGCTGGGTTCTACAACTTGCATTATATTATCATTTCTACAGCTGTTAAAATTTCTGACCAATTAGATTTTTACATCACTCTGATGAAGGGAGTGTACTGATCCCATCCAGTCCAGGAAGCTGATCTCTCTAACTTCATGATTTTTGTATTTTTCATCTAGTCATCACTTGTTACTTAAATATGAACCAAAAAAGAGACCAGACATTATAACGCTACATGATGACATACAATAAAAGCAATACCAGACTCTGCTTCAAAGAGAATCTCAGATGCGATTATTTTTAAGGTGCTACAGCTTATCAAAAACATGACCAAGCTGCCAGTAGACAACTACTTTCATAAAGACAAGTGCAAGTTCCATTCATATCACTTATTATTCTTCTGACAAGCTACAGCAATGTAAGTAGGCTAGTAGTGTAAAATTTGTCTCAAGTCACTGATAAACACCCTAATTGTAAGAATGACTAATGCATTTCTTTCCTACACTTGAGTCTAGGTCTGACAACTTAATTACATTCTACATGAATAAAGACCCGAATGACATGCCATTTACCTACTATGTTAATGTGCAAGCCTTATTCAAGATTTGCCAGTTGCTATAAAATACACGTATTATGCATAGAAGTGCATATTTGTCAGTATAGGTCCTGCTAATGGCCCCAAAACTTTTCCACAATCAATGCAAAATGTATGTGGTTTTCCAAGTAAAACATGGTATCAGGTACTGGGACTCACCAAAAAGGAAAAAAGGAAAAGTACTTCTTCAAAAAATGAAATTATAAAAAAATCCAAATATTCAGGACGCAGTTTTCATATATAGATGCTTATAGGGCATTTAATAAACAAAGATGTGACTTGGGGGGGAGGGTGTGTGGAAGAACATCTTCAATGAATAGAGCAAATGGAAACTCTGAGTCTATGTGCAGACCTCTCTAACTGTTGGTATAAGTAAGCAACTGTTATCCCCTGTTATAACCGCAGGAGGTCACAATCACACTAAGAATAAGTGTTTTGGGCATTATTCAGTGGCTGAGGTAAATTTAAATTGAGAATTAATTTTGTAAGGGTAATGTTAGGCTTTCACAAGCTTTTGTTCAGATATTAAAATCATCACCAGGATATAAGCTAGCAACTGACTTCAGCACTTTTTGAAGAGCAAACAAACAAAACTTTTAAATAAAGATTGAACAAAAATACAGTTGCACATCAAGTTACTTTATCTAATGAAAATGTTGTTGGAACTCTATAATTGTACTAGGTAGAACAAGGAAGCAATTTTTATTCAGGAGAAAATATGAGGCATTTATACACACATAGACATACATGAATTTTTTTGAAATTGAGTTGCTATAGGTTCCTTAACTTCAAAAGATACAATTAATAGGGTATGTATGCTACTAAAAAAAAAGTCTGGAAATTAGAAAGACACTATTTTTAGCCAAAGTTTTCTCATTCATGCCTATATTCTTGATCAGTTTCAAATACAGAAATCTGAGGCCACACACAGCTCCAGCCTCTGATACATGATATCTTCCTTGCCTTATTCTAAAGCCGGTAACTGATACAAATGCCCAAATTTACCTCTTGCTTTTTAGAACAGAAAAATGGAAATAATTTCACCTACCTTAAACCAAGTGAGGCTGGGCATTAGTCTTAAGCATTTCTCTTTCAGTCAGTATTAAGAGGTTTATTGATTCCTTCATAGCCAATGAAAAGAAACAGGTAGTGATTCATCATCCTTATCTTAAAACAGAAACCCATCCTGAGGACTTGCCTATCTCTTTCTATAGACTATATGGAGACTGCCTCAGGATTGATACCTGTCTTCTAGATAGCACAGCTAGTGCAAATGCTTCTATGCCTGCTTAATGTCTCTTTAACAGAACTGTTAGTATGCACAAGTTGAGAAAAGAAGAAATTAAAAAAACATCTTGCAATTAAGATAGTGCGGTCAGGCAGACTGCGCAAAATATAAATGCTAATGATTTTTACTGTTTGGGATTTTTATTTTACCAATATTTTTATTTCAAGTGATACTTTGAGATTTAACATTCATATCCAAGTTAAACTCTGGCCACAAGAAGGCTTTGCTAATTTTTTCAAATAAACTGAAATATGAGTAAAAATATGTTGACCTGTATTTTCACTTTTAGTTCATCCTTTTCCACTTCTTTTCTTTGGATCTGACATTGCAAGTGAACTTGTAATGCTTTTATTGATCCTGACAGGTGGTCTTCTTTCTGCACATTGACCTAAGAAAGAGAAGTAAACACAAATCTGTTGTTCTATGGAGACAGGCCGTATGATGCTATCTATATTCTTCCTACTTTGCCATGGTTTCTAAGTGACAGTTGAACATTCTCAAAAGCTGGAAAAGATAAAACATGCTCTACAAGTATATTCACAAGCAGTAACTTGTTACTAATGTTATTAATGTTAAACAGAAATCACAAACTTGAAAGAACATAAGTATAACTGATGCTTCATACTTAATCTGACTCTTTAAGCAGTATGAACAAGGCCTGAAAACACAAACTCAGAAATCCAGAGCAAAGGCATCTAGCTAGCAGGTTGACCAAAATTAAGCCACACTGATCAGCTCTGCCCTGACTCACTAGACCTGAACTGATCTTCACTAAACATCAATGACCACCACCTGCAATTAGAAGTATTGATGCATTTAATTCAACCTCTAATTTTGGGGGCTTACATAAAGCATAAGAGAAGAGGCAACTTATGTCACCAGAATTGAGGACAGATGATTCTATGAAATTTCTTGCAACTTGATTCCTTTGGCTCCTTCTAAATAAGAAACAATGAAAATAGGTAGAAGGAAGTCATATTATCAGTATAGACTAGAACAGCATTGCAAGGCACCAGTGCAAGTGTTCATCGTAGATACCAGTAAGAAAGGCAGACTCAGATTCTGTCAGGTATTGATGAAAATGCCATTTATTAGAGATAACATAAGAAGGAACAAGGGGATAGCATAGATACTCATTTATCCCTTCAGATGCTGGGCGCCCCAAATTGCTCAACGTTAGATAGATCTCTAGTCAGGGCATGGCATGCTGCGCAGAACCTGTCAACGGTGAGGTTTTGCTGGCATTGTGGTCTTCAGAATCTTTTCTGTTCAGCATTTCTACTCTCAAACAAAAGGATGTTTCTATGAAAACATGCTGTTCCACTTCAAGGTAAAGTCAAGGACATGCCGATTGCCAGGTGTGAAAGTGGGCACCCCCACAGGCTCCTCTATTAGAATTAGCTGGCTAAATTTATCCTGCAGCCAATTGATACGTTTTCTTGGTTATGCAAAGAAAAATTCTTAAAGAAGAATCATGGTTCTCAAGAAACCCTAAGGAGTTACAAAAATCGAAGTACACCATTGTCTCGTGTAAGGTTTAACTGAGCCTACTCCGTCCCTCACTAACACTGAACCACACTGCATTGCATACACATAAAGTGCACTTCAGGTATACAAGCACTGTAGCACAGATTGCTAAACTACCAGTAAAATAATTTTGAAACTTTTATAGTACCTTCTTATACAGGACAGATAATTCTTCATAGAATCATAGGATCATAGAATGCTTTGGGTTGGAAGGGACCTCAAAGATCATCTAGTTCCATCCCCCCTGCCACGGGCAGGGACACCTTCCACTACACCAGGTCGCTCAAAGCCTCATCCAGCCTGGCCTTGAACACTTCCAGAGATGGGGCATCCACAGCTTCTCTAGGCAACCTTCACCTCCTGTGTTGGTTTCTGCACTGAGCCCCTTCCTTTGTTTCAGAAAATGAACGAGGTCTTGTCAGCCTTTGATGATATTAGCTCTGCTGTCAGTACTACCTTTCCCTATTCATTGAGCTCAAAGCACCATGGAAACTAGCTGTTAACAGTATGTGTTCAGTTTACTTTGTATTACTTCATTATCAGTGCTTTTTTCTAAGAACTATTGCAAATCTGTAAATGAGAAGCCAAAAGTGATTAGTATAGATGTACAGCCCTCCCTGAACTGTGGGACATTAGTGTTAAGGATAACCTGTATCTTTAATAGCTTTGAATACACTCTTTATGGTTTTAAGATATTTCTGTAGGAAATATCTTTTGGGATTTTCCTTTTATTCATAAATATTTGAAAGAATTGCTTTTCTCAAAATTTAAAATTTGTAAATAAAAATCTAGTACATAGAGTGAAATCATTTATTCCAATTGAACTGGTCACTCACTTTTTCAAGCTGAAGCCTGGATGAAAGCTCTTTAACGTGTTTCTCCCTTTCGAGTATTTTTCTCCTGAGATTCTTCATGGAAGAAAAATAACAAAGAGATTATTTTAATGTCTGTACAGAAGAGTGCAACACTAATGCACATTGATGAACATTTCAGCTGTAAAACTATGATTCTATTTTGTGATGATAAACCACAAATACTCTCACTTTGCCACTGTCACTTGAAATTGTACGATCTCACGACGTAGCCATTTTCACATGTACAGCATAGAATAGACAGAAATTTTAATTTACTTACAGTATTTTCGGTTTCATTTTCACTTAACTTCCGCATCAAAGTGTCAATGTTTTTACTGTTTAACTGCAAGATAGAAGTAGGAAACATTAAAAAATTACTTCCGATTACAATTGACTTAGCATTTTTTTTCAACAGTTTTGAATTTGGTACATATAAATTGCTACATTTTCAAATTTGGTGCATATGATGAGAAAAGCTTGCATATTCATGAACTACTTAGATTTGGTGGTTTAAACCCTAAAGATTCAACTCATTTTGTGCGTAACTAGGGCGAGGCACAAAACTAGAGTGATTCCATACACCGATTTCTTTCTTTATTTTAGCTAAAAGGACTCTAAATATCATAAATACTTAAGTTTGATTTAAACACATCATCAAATAGTAAAAGCATTTGTACAACACGTAATATTTTAAAGATTAATGTTGCGTATTAAAGCCTTTCAGAAACTTCAGTTAGATAGGATAATTCAAAAATTGAACCAGAAAGCATAAACTGAGAGATTACAAAAATCAACCTAGATTAACTGTTATTACCAATCCAAAAGACTTTATGTGCCTATAATATTGTCAACTAAACTTCTCATTTTAAAATGTCAGATTTTGGGGATGGAGCAAATTTCCGTTTAAAAAAAAAAATAAGACTTGTGGGACTTCCACCTCTGTTAACTTGCAAGAATAAAAGATCAGCTTTATGACTTCTGAAAGAAAGCTTAAAAAGACAGTAATGACAAATAACATTTAATTTGAAAAGAAATTTCCATTCTTCACTCCACCAGGTTTCTGTGTGGGTTCCATACGACACTACTGTTAAACAGGAATTCATTGTAATCCACCTCCTGTTTTAACTTACATAGCCCACCAAAATCCTTCCAACTTTGCAGGAACTTTCTTAGTGCACAGGACATAACAAAAAAATCTTCCCAATATGTTTATTAAAGAAGATAATACTAAATGTTAGTTTAAGACTTGCATAAGAAATGTACATTAACATTGATTCTGTGTTTATGCCTTACATATTTTCTTACTTGGTGTTCTATACTGTCAGATTCTTTGCTTAGATCAGTAAAATATTTTCCATCTTGGATGGCTTTTGTAGTTCTATGATAATCCTTTTTATATGGTGGAGTCAGCGAACAGAGTTTCCCTGATTCTGCAGGTGGCACATACATTTTTCCCTGAAATAGCGTCAATAATTATGTAACATTTAGTATCACTCACAATTAGGACACTGATCTTGCTAATTCAAGGATATCAACATAAAACAAGTCAGCTCTTGAGGAGAATCATTTAGGAGAAATTTTAAAGATCTAAGATATCTCTCATTTATGACTTCCAACAAAGGTAAAAGCCTGTGATATCACAGGATGTAACCTCAGACTGGTCACTCACAGAACACACCTAATCTACAAGGCAACGGTAAACACTACCTCCAGTGAAGGTGGAGGCCAAGTTCTGCTCAGACACGAATACTATGCTTCCCAGGAGAGTTCTTCCAATTAGGAAGCAGCAATGGTTTTTCTCTTTTCCCAGTGTGGAAAAGCTCCTCACCCTGCAGTGCTGCAGAGGAACATGATCCTGCCCATGTCATGGCCATTCCAGAGCCAAGTATCAGTGCCTGCTACCTAAATGCATCCCATTCCCCCTGCTTCCTTGTCAAGCACCAGGAAGATGCCATCACGCTCACTCCTTCTTCAAACACCTCTCTCCTGCTTCTACCCTCACATTCCAGCATGACTGATGCCCTCGTCAAGCACAAAATTATCCGTTTACCCTGCTCAGTGCTCCATAACTACTCATCATTTTTCAGAAGTGGATTGTCTTGCCTTCTCCACCCACCAGGACCCATTTCTTCTGCTTTCAGCCTGTACCAGGTGCATTTCCGCCAAAAGAATTTGTCAGACTAAGAGTTTATATTCTTACATCCATATCTACTTAGCATTAGTGAGAAAATGAATAACAGAATTTGAGAAGTCACCAACTAAAAAAAAATCAGTTCCTCACAGAATAAGAATGTAAGCTGCTCTGCTTCCAACTGTTGCCATAAGGCAAATAACTAGACTCAAAAAATCTAATGTTTCATATATATATATATATATGTGTGTGTGTGTTGTTTTATTACAGGCTTACATTTCGTGGCAGACATCAACTTGTGTGACTGTAACTCTACAGCTTTCTCTTGGTTATATAACTAAAATTAAGTTCTTTAATTTAACCACTTCCAGTAAAAACAGTATCTCGGAAGATTAAACATTGTGTTTCATTTAACCTAGCCCATCTATGTAAGCAGAAAAGAACAAATAGGATTTTTTCCATACTTTCAGTACACCATTTTTATGTCTGGTGCTCTCACTTGCCCCTGTTTTGAAATATCACCTACTTCCCATCTGTAGCTAGGAGGTATGTTTTGAAATAACTAGTTTGAATATTGCTAACAAAGTAAATGAAATGAAAAAAAATCAAGCTTAACAGGAATAGAATGAACTTGCCTCAGTAGCACGAGGAAGAAGAAACTTTTCCTGAAGATCCAAGTCCCATAAAGGACGAGTACAGTTATGTACAGGTAAAGACGAGGACGATTGGGAGGATGAGGACATTTCGTTTTAACGCTGTAGAACAAGACAGTATACGTTAACATAGATGTGTCTTCCGTGAATCAGTAACTGAAACATTATCGGCATCCCAGGTTGTTCCCACCGGAAAGCAGAGCGCACCAGACCGCGTACAGCCCAGCCTCACCAGAGATGTCACACGCTTAAGGCAGCCGGGCCCGCGCTCGCGGACTCACACCGCGTCACCGCTTCGGCAGCGCCGAATGCGCGCACCTGGCGCGCGGAAGTGAACGCCCTCGGCAGCAGGCAGCTCACCGCGCGCCAAGGGCGAGGCAACGCTCGCGGCTGCGGCTCCCCGCGGCCGCGCTGCCCGGCGCTGCG